GGAACTGCAGATTTGTTGCCAATTTGCATCATTAAGATGCAAAAACAAGTAAAGGGGGTCCTTCATTATTACCTGATGACATCGGGCAACAAAATCTAGACCTTCATTTTAATCAAAGGTTGTGTTTAATCAAATGGCCACAAGCTAATTTAGATCCCACAGCAAGTATTTACCCAAAGGCCTTTGAACAGGTTATTCTGGCCATGCCCGGATTGTAGCTACAGCTCTGAGAGTATTTCAATTGCACGTTTTTTTTCTTTAATTATTCTGTAATTCTATCCATCTGCAACCTGTTGGTGTCTAATGCTTCAGAAATGGTTACAGGATCACTTTGATTAACAAGAACAATAAATAATGAATCCTTTCTGTGTACTACTGGTGCAAACATGTACAGTATACCATCCTCCAATGTGGTCCGGTTCACCGTGTCCCACACACATTGTTTGTATCTGCAGGGTTTTGTTTCCATGCCTCCCTTGGCCTGAAAACTCTTCCGCAGGGAACAGCACACTGCAATCAGGCCTGGTTTATGGCAGCCAATCTGCCATTCACTGCAGACCAAGATTGATGATGCCTGTCCTGACTGACTGGTACTCAGGGCGAGATGCCGCTGTCCGACATGCACCGCACACTCATAAACCTCAGTCCATCTGGTCGGAGACAAACAAGGAAATGTGTCCATAAATTCTTACTTGCTTGAGAAAATTGAATGTTGGACAAGTGAAGAAGAAGAAGAAAAAAAAACTCCCCTGAGCCTAAATTACCAAACAGCTGGAAACTACTGCACATCCTTGTATCCTTCAGTCATGTTGCCCTTTTGACCCACTGACCAGACTACTTACATTAACTGGACACAATGTATTCTCCCATGAATGCAGCGTTAACCACCACAGGCTCCCATTGACACTCAAACGGAAGTATTTTTACAGCTTCCAAGCACCACTGAACAAGTTTAAAGCAGTTTAATTACAGCGCTGACCTGATTGGCAGCTACATGAATGTGTCTTGGTGGGGAAGAGGCCACAGACTGTTAACTGCAGCGAGGTGCTAAGAAGAAAAAAAAAAAAGGTTAATGAGCTAAACGCTGCGCTGCCAGGCCAGCTTTCAAGTTGGGATTCATTTCTTTATAGAGACTAATAAATGTGTCTTATGAGAAACGTACGGTGGCCCTGTGGGGCAAAACTCAACAGCAATGAATCACATTAGGAAAATAGAAAACACAACTGTTTCAAGGGTTGAGTTTTTATGTTACAGTTGGGTTATCTACCCACACCAAAAAATATATGAATGTGAACCGTAATAAGCTACTGTAACTATCGTTTTTTAATAACATTTATAATCTTCGCACGTAAATTTTGTACAACTAACAGTACACCTTACCTTTTTAAGGTAAAACTTGGGCAATGTCGTGTCTCACACTGGGTCAAAATAACACAACTGTAATATACAAAAATCTGGGAAATCTTGGGTCAGTGCTATATTAAATCAAACTGGGTCAGTTTTTAACCCAGTGATTTTAAGTAGGTTTGATCAGTGATACTGCAGGGAAGAATAACCTTTTTCTGTTTTTGTGAATGTGTTTTATAAAATTTTGTTGAATTTTCTGATTAATGTTTTATAAAACTTCTTCTTAAAATGTTGTTTTTCAAACTTATTAATGTGTTTTCTAAAATGATGGTGTGTTTTCATAAATGTCATTTATTCTTAAATGCTGTGTTCTATTAAATGTGTTTTCTGTTTTGTCCTTCATTCAATGTTTTTCACCTCAGGGCCACCGTACAAACTGTTAATTATGCCTGATTATCACATTCAATCTTCTCCAAAGACATAAATTCTACAAGTGTTTTGTTCCAGAGTTTTAATATACCACTTGTGACAAACATTGCAAACTTTACACAACCAAACCATGAGATTCAAATGCTTGTCTGGTACAGTAGTAACAGGAAATGAGGTAATGAGGGCCTCTCTGGGAGTGCACAGCATGGAGAGCGATGCATTGACCCGTGGCAACCCAGACAGGTCCACTGAACTTTAAAGGTGAATTGGATCAGGGCCCCTGCCCGGCCGCTCAGCCAAAAACCTCCTGATGAGGGCTTAGCGGCGGCAGTGAAAGCAACCTAATGAGTGAAGAGTAATCAACACTATTACCGGGCCTCGCAAGCGCACCCAGGCTTCAGCCCAGCAGGCTATAATGTCGTTTACAGCCAAACTACAGGCTGATTCACTGTGAGAGTGACTAATCAGGAGAAGGGGAATATTAGTGAGTTTAATGGCTTTAGTATAAATCTTTGCCATTGCTAGGCCAAAGGAGAAAAGGCTTTGATTAATAAGCTGAAGTGGATTTTTTTGCCAGGGTCTGTAACCATCTGGGGCTCTACCTAAACGGATGACCTCAGTGCATTTCACTGGCTGCAGTCCATCCTGCAACATGTCCCTGGCAATCAAAGAGCAGTGCCAATACAAAGGCCGAGTCAAGAGCAAAACCTACATGTTGCAGTGAAGTAAGACATTAATTAAACATGTTGGAGTCTGTGTTTTTGCATTTTCTTCTTATTCCTGTAATGTTACGTGAAATCTGGCTTGAACTATTTGTAATGGTGAAGAGGTTTTAAAACTGAAACCAGTATTCAATAATGTGATGTTATTTTTTCACCAAAGGATACAGAACATACAAACTGTACACAGATACTTTAGGAAGGAGGTTTCTTAATAGAATAACAGTTGCTTTATGGAGGTGAAAGTGCATTTTTGTCCTAAATAAAAATAACGGTTAAGATAAGAAACGTGCCCCAAATAACAATGAAGCCAAAACGTACCACTTGATATTCTCAGACTTTCTCCAAAAGCTGCAGGAATCAGGGTTGTTTGGCCAGTAGGGGGCAGAAAAAGTGAGAAAACCTTATTTAAAATCCCACTGACATTTGCTGCAATGCTAATATCCAAAAATCCAGTTAGGTGAAAAATTATATATTGTTGTTTTATTATTTTATAGTTTAGTTTTTTAGCGACCTATAACAAACACCACAAGCAGAGGTTACAGCTAGAAAAAGTTTAGTAGTAGTAGTAGTAGTAGATTTTTGACGCTCACAAAGTAATCATTGTTTACCGAGCCCACCTGGGGTCAGCTGAGAAAAAAAAAAGCCATGTGTAAATCTGTACTCTCGGTTTACAAATCTGTGTGCAGAGTTTATAAACTATGCTCTCAGATTCCTAATACGTGCCCACAGATTTGTAAACTGAGAGTACAGATTTACACATTTTTCTCAGCTGACCCTGCGGGGGCTCCATAATTGCTTTGTTAAAACCACAAAGGTTTTAAACTGCTGTGGTGGACAACATGGACAGTAAATCTCAGGAACAAGCTTTTTTTTTTCCCCAGAAAGACTGATAAGTTGCTCTGGCTAATGGACAAATGCCTTTTACACATCTAGTAGATACATAGCAGTGTTATAATTCATCAGTCATGTTTTTGGGGCCCCCTGATGAATGCAAGTCTAATATTCACTCTCCACCGAATCCTGTGGAAAATATCTGACTCTCTAGTGGCTAAATGCTTTACTGTGTTCAGCTAGTTGCTAACTTTGTTGGCTGAAACAAGGTTGATGAGAGCGACTGTTGGACCAAACAGTAAAAGTGTTGTAAAAACCAAAATAATGAAGTCTTTATACACAGTCATTTCATTCACTGTATAATAAGATAATAAGATAAGATAATAAGATTCACCTACTTGCTATTTCTGGAGCTTTCAACCATATATCATTGCCCATACATAATCGCCTGTTATCATGTGACCAAAAGTCATGAATGGACAACTCAACAAGATGTATCCATTGAAGGGACATGGGATAGTTTGAAATCTTGGGAAAAAGCTAAGAATATTTTATTCACAGACAAGAAATACTGTCTTAAACCTTAATAGCTTTAAGAGTAACCCGTATTGTCAACACATTTCCAATGCCAAAAAGTCGGCCGCACCTCTTTTTGTTGTAATATTTTTTATATTACATTTTACTGGACCTCTAAAGTGTCCTCAACACAAACTCCAGCAGTTGTAATATCAGGTTCTAGTATGTGCTACATATTGTTTGCAGGCAGGTACTGTCGTCTCCAGGCCTCAACAAACAGAGTTCAAAAGTTTAAACTCGGGCAGGATCAGTTGTCGGGACACTTTAAGCAACTTACGGACTTATGGAGCCGTAATCCTTTGTGTGTAACTGATTTAACGAACAAAGTAAAAACAGAGGGTTGATCTTCTAATCCCTCAAATACTACAAGCTACTTGAAATACTAGTGTACTACATTTCTTTCCCTTGATGTTAATCAGGACTGTAAATCCACAGATTATAAGATTCTGACTTATCAATCTTTGAGAGCAGAATAAAACAAAAGCAAACTGTTCGAGGAGGATCTGTAATATATCAAACTGCATACTTTTAGATGGAATCTCTGTTAAGTGGTGTGTGGGTTGGTGTGTGTGTGTGTGAGTGTGCTGGATTCTCTGGCATGTGAAAGAGATTGAGTTTCATAAGGAGATCTGGTCGTTAATTCGCCTGTTTATCTCGATGCAGAGCTCTGGACTAAATTTGAGTGTAATATATGATTCTCTCAGACATGTTTTATCTTCGCCGTCCAACTCCTCCTTTTCTCCTCAGCTTCACCCCCTCCCTTCCCCATCCTCCTCCCCCTCCTCTCGCCTCCACACACCCCAACACACAATCATCCTACTCCTCTTCCTTGCCAAATACCTTCCAGTCAAAAAACACCCAATTCTGCTGGTTATCAGTCTAATGCATCATCACTCCCACTTCTCACGTTAGCTGAGCCGAAGCTAATCCGTGTTTATCTGTGTTATCTAAGTTTTACAGGTGCTTTGAAGCAGTTTGTCATATTTACCTCTACAAAACAAGAGATTCGAGGCATCACTTTGGATCAGGAGGAAGCGTTGATGCTCTGCAGCTGCTGCAGATGTAATGAACCAAGAAGAGCGGTGCCAGGTCTGGTTTCAAACTGCACTGATGGTTTACGTTGGCCCCCGATCAGGATCCTGAGTTCCCCCTCTCAAACTTTTTCACAGTGCATTATTTTGACTTTTCACTCACCGAGCACGAATGGGTATTTGTCACAGAGTGTTACAGCCTGGAAAAGATTGCTTTGGCAAATGTTTTATGGTATTACAAGTTTTTTTTTTCTCAGTAGTTTACATGTGAGGGCTTTACTCCCTCCAGGCACTTAAACTTTTAGTTACTTACAAGCTTGTAACGCCACCTTGTGGTAGAACTCAACAGTTTAATTACACAGGTTGAAAACAGTAGCACATTATTTCAGTACACTATCTGGCCAAAAGTATAAGGACACTTACTTTTTTGTCTCTGGTCTGTGGTTATTATGGTTTGGACTGAGAACTTCGCTACCTTTGTAGCAGTTTGAAGGCTTTTTCCTAGTTGGCATGATAATATCCCTAAGCACAAAAATAAATCCATAGAGATATGGTTCTCCTAGTTTGATGAGGAACAACTTCAATCAACCCAACACCTTTAACATGAACTAGAAAAGCAAGACAGGCAAATTGAAAACTTTCCACTGGCTAATGATCAGTTACTGTATGTGTGTGTGTCTGTGCCTGTCTGTATGATGTGATGTCTTACATCTTTGTCCAACCTTACTACTAATGTTCGTGTGGCTAAATGGGAACAGATCAGGTTCAAAAATCTTGTGGAAAGCCTTCCTAAAAGAGTAGAAGCTGTTAAAATAGCACATATGGGTGTAATGTTACGTCCACATACTTTTGGCCATTTGGTGCACATCACATTTATAGAGATTATATAGCACATTATTTACAGTACATACAGTACCATTTTTTTTAAAAAATTGCTATGCAAACACGTTAAATATCACAAATCTAAAAAAAACATACATGTTAAAGTTTCTTCTACTACATTCATTCACCTAAACATACATTAACCTCCATGCAGTCATTTAATCTCAGTGCACTATATAAAATAACTTGTAGAGACATAAAAACTTGCTTTGATAACCCTTTTCACAGCCGACATTTCAACTTGTACAGGTGGAATTAATAACATTGACAATGGCTGCATTCCATTTAGGTGAGCCGGTTCCAGGGCTCTGGTATCGTGCATGTACATGGCTTACTGGGACACTTAATGGAACGGAGCTTGCTTTTCCTGCTTGGACAAGTCAAAATGTCTGTTGTTAAAAGGGTTCTATTGATAGATGCTAATCCATCACCTCACATTTGTTACATCAAACTATTTTTGCATGGCAAAGCAGCTGAAAGCAGGGACTGTTTTGAAACATCCAGTTCAAGGATGCTTGGATGTGACAAATTTGCTTTTCATTTGCCGCCAGAGTTTGATTTTTGAACAAAAATGCATAAGTGCGACGCCTTCTATTGCCAGCTATCCATGGCATCTGACTGTCAGATGCCTGAGCGTCGTAAAAGCACCATGCAAGAAACAGTTTGTGCTCACAAATGAGAAAAGGGCAGCAGTTTGTTCATTCCGATGCAGCAGGTCAATCACATCTGGAGGCTCCACAGCTGTACACTGAACTTATATTATTGCGGTTCACAGGAAACAGTAGTTTGGTAAGTTGCAGGTCAGTCGTAAAGTCGAGGTCAAAACTGATTTTGTTTGAGAAGAACATTTTTAGATGCCTCTGCTGCACATAATTCATCTATCAACAGCATTTTGATATTACGATACACAATGAAATGTAGTAAATCAAATACTTTTGAAACAATGGTTTTATGTAAGAAACCAAAATGACCGGTTTTAACCGATATCACTTAAATCACCCAATTGATGCGTATTGCATTTTCTCAGTCTAAAGTGGTAATAAAGTACATGTTTCTATACAGTGCAGTTTTGCATCTGGAGATGTCACAGACGTTCTCTTCAGTCCCAAACTCTCTTTACCTCCTCTGTTCACTATAAGGGGCCGACATCATCATAGTCATCCTCAGATGAAGGGATTTGGTCGGGGCTCACTGGGGAGTAGATGGGGCCATCTTCATCACCTAATGATCAGACAATACTTGATACCAGAAAATGTTATCAATCTTATTTTAAGTGTAACATCTGTTTAGTGATATTTACCTGAATTGTAAAGGTTGGTTGTTGTTTTAGAATAATCGTTGGTGTACATCCTTAAAGGGTCAAAAGTATCATTGGCAACAGATGACTGGCTCGTTCCTGGCTCTGTAATTTGTGAGAATACAGGTCATGTGTTTTTATAAAAAAAGTTTCTTTTAAGACAGTTTCAAACTGACTTTCTTCTGGTTTTCATATCCTCTTTACCAGAAGAAGTGAAACACGGCACTTTCAGTTGAGTGTTTTTCTTATTCTAAGCTGCCCACAGATTTGGTTCAGGGACTGTACAAAAATTACTGGGGTGAGTATATCATATTTAAAAAGCAAAAAAAAAAAATTTACATAGAAAGATGATCTAAAACAGGAATCAATTTATGACGGTGGATCCTAATTTGAATAGTTTAGTATTTTGAGACCTACGCTTATTCCCTTTCTTACTTAGAGTTACATGAGAAGACTGAGTCTTAGTCTCATGTTTATTTGTCAAATATGAAGATACAGTTAGCAGACAGTTAGCTTTAGTTTGTTGAACTATTCCTTAAATACTATAATCATGTTCAAAACAACCGCCAATACACACTTTAAAGTGGAATTAAAAGTGTATGGCAAACATATTAAAGGTGCTGACAGTTCATTTTTACAGTAACTTTACAATAAAGGTACTCGCTTAAGGGAAGCAGGTGAATAAATTCGACTGACCGGGGGTTACTACGACGTATCCTTTTGGGTTTGTGTTTTCGTAGCATTCCCCAGAGGAGGTACTGGAGGTATCAAATGAGTCCACTGTGATCTTTGAAACTCTGGCATATTGAGGGTCTGTGCAGTCACCATTATAGCCTGTAAAGGCTCCCATCACTTCATCTCTGGGCTCAGTGCCTGAAAAATAATTTTAAAAAAAATCTCTTGTAAAGGAGATAATTTAATATAATAAAAATATTGTTGAGATGTTTAATGCCTGACAAAAAAGGTTTCTTAATGTTAGTTGCAATGAATAGCTATGATTCAATCAACAGTTGTAAATTATATTTCTAAGCAACAACAAGCCCATTTACAGATTAATAAAATGTCACTGGATTTTTTAATTACAATAAGAAAGAACCCATTTAATTATATGACATTTTGCATCATTAAAATGGTTAAACATTGCTAACAGGGTTCAGTGTCTAGCAGCAAGTCAGGTATAAATGCCTAAATTGCCAGGCATGGAAATATTTACAGGTGTTTTATCGTACTAGAGACCATAAGTACAAAATAGTGGAAAAAAGGTGGAACAGTTTACCAGATTATGTGACATAACCGGACATAAAGTATCATATCTATTACAGTTCTTTTGAAAACAGATGTAAATACTTTTTATTTAAAGAAAACAAAAGAGGAGAGATGGATCAATGTACTTAGTATTTAAGTAAAAATATTCATCGCTCAAAACATTTCCTTGTTTAATAAAGGTTAAATATAACTAAAAATAAATGTTTTTGAACAGTGTAAATGTGTTCAGAAGGTCCCAGCGGTGATTTATACTATATCAATGTTTGTGCCTCTACCATCAGATCATTCCTAGGAACAGCAGTACTGTACAGTGTAAATATTATCGTGATCTGCAAAGTGTAACGTCTTTTTCTCTGTGACATCTTTGCCAGCTCAAAGTGACTCACCTTCCTCAAAGAGGCTTTCAAGACCCGAGGGCTTCATCAAAGGGTTCATCTCTGTTTTGTACCTCTGAGAATCTGGATACAAAACGGTGCACACAAAGCACTGTTTTATTCACAAACCATCCTGCAAACATTCATTGTATTGGTCTGCACATACTGCACACACAGAGCAGCTTCAACCGCAATATGCGACACAGCGAGAGAACATCTTAAGAGGCACAGATTGAGAAAACACACAGGAATGAATACAAATGGAGAGGAAATAAAAGAACATAGCTCACTCCGGAAAGTTGATAAAGGGACAGACGGGTCATTGCTTGGCTCAGACTGCTCATAGTCTGTATCTACTGACGTGCTGTCAACACTACTAAGCTGGGTCCAAAGATACCTGGGGTTGGAGGGGACTTTTTGAGACAAACAGAAAAAAAAAAAAAACGACTTCATGAGGTGACTCTATGCCTTGGAGAGATGCTTTCTCACGACTGTACACGTATGTGAGTACACATATGCAGGGTATAAAGAAAGAAAAGACAGACAAAATTTAGTTATCTGAGGTATTACATTTTGCACACACATTCAGTTTTTTATTGAGTATAATGTTGCACTGACCATCTGTCTCAGGTGGGTTGGTAGTGACCTTGATGAGGTTGACAGATTCATGGTAGTTGTTGTGATGATTTTCAGAGGAAGGTCGTGAGCTGGTGCGCGTCTGCTGGAGCAAGAACGCTGTGGACATACGTTCCAAGATACAGTCAGTTATTCTAAAGTGGATGAAATGTTTAACTCATGCTGTAGTGTCTACTGTCTAATAGAAAGATTGTTTTGTATTTTAAAAATGAGAGTTAGAGCTATTAATATACTAAAGATATGAGATAAAAAATAAAACAAAAGCAGAATACGGTTGGAATAACAGATGAGATGGAGACTCTGTTTGATGCTGAGATCCTCCCACACATGTTTTAAGATTTTAAAAAAATGCTTTGAAAAGAAATTTGTATCTGAAAATGTATTATTTCACAAAAAATGTTAAATTACCTTTATAAGAATTCTTAAAACTACGTCTAAGTTTCCTCACTGAGAAACCCAGAATCAATAAATATGCAAATATGGTTCATTCGGAAAGTTTAACAGCTGAACAAGACGTCTCCTACTTCACTGATACGTTCCTTCTCATTGTAAGTCACACTTAAGTTGCATATTGAACAATGATTGGCTTCAAAACTAGCTGCGAACTGCTCAGATTTAATCAGATTTAAGGTGAGCTCAGAGAAACTTTCCCCTTTCAACAGATTGATGTGAAAACTTCCTTCTTGTGTTAAACTGTGCACATTCATCATTCTGCAGAGCGAAGCTCAAACACCCACAAAGCACAAGGTATCTGGAACTGGAGCGACGTTAAAAATCTAAAACTTCAGTTCACTGCTCCTGATGGCAAAAGCATGCCTTATTATTCTGATTTATTACTCTGACATATTAAAATTGACTCTGATTTGCTATTCAGATGAAAGTAGTGACACTGTAATGAGGGGGAACCAACCATGTCTTCGTTTGTAATGGCAGCAGAGCACCGTGTTTGTGATCAGAACCACGAGGAGCAGAAGAGACAGAGTGATGGTGCTGAGCAGCTCTATAGATGGTAATGAGAAGCCTTCAACAACCACGGGTGCAGCTTGGAGGATGGACAGAGAGAAAAAGTATACATCATGCTCAAACTTTCTGGTAGTTGATTCAAGACTCACGTGGTTATAATTGTCAGTGTTTGTTTGTACACCTTCCTATGACTTTTATAACATACTAAGACATATTCGGTTGTCCTACATTACTCTTAAAAAGTAAAGGAATATTTAAATTATACGTTTTTTGCTTACTCTGGCAGCCCCTGTGGATAAAAGCGGGAATGCTTCCATCACCTTGTTTTATCCGATTCATTAGAATTCAACCAAATACAACCGGGTTGCAGGCATTAAGAATAACTATACATCAATTATATATAATAATTATACATAAATACAGGGGCGGAGCAAGAGAAATATTCATGGGGTGGCAAGAGGGTGGCATGGAGACTTTTAAGGGTGGCAGAAATATACGCTGATTTATTTGAAAATAATCACATATGTCAATATTTGCTTGTAAAAGCCCCAATATGAAGATATTTTACCTCAAAAACATTACATTACTGTGGCACAGTAAAGCACTGAATAGAAATATCTAAAGGTGGCATTAGAAATCAATAAATTGTTCAGATTAAATTGTTCCTTTTTCACTAAGTCTAAAATGTGGCCATAACAGATCATTTAATTATTTGTGTTAATTTTTCTTTTTTATATTTTAAATTAAACTAAATGAATGTGTTAAATTTGATAGCATTTGACACCAAACTTGTTTATGTAGCTCATATAGAGGCATAAGTATTAAATGGAGACTATTCCATAACCATTAAAACAAACTCCTTGTAGGGCATTTAAAGTTTTAAACATAATGTGATAAGTCTTGATGTGTCTATGTCAATAAAAAGCTGTAATATTTACCAGTCGTCCAACTGGTTATTACAGTTGCGTTGGCTGTGGTGGCTGTGGTAGGTGCAGGAAACCCGAGGGAACCTGCAACACAACAATATTGTCTTTTTGTTGAGGACAGTCTGGATGTGAGCTGACAAATAAAGAGAAGAAATATAGAAAATCCCATTTTCACCTGGTTTATCTAAATAAGCAAAATGTGCTCAGCATTTTAATTTCATAGTTTTGAATACTGAACAGCAAGCCACAAAAAACAGGATGGTTGAGGTGTAAAGTTATCTATGTCATTATCTATAATAATAATAAGATCAACAAAATATAATAGAAAATGCATCTGGAAGTTACCAGCTAGTTGTGTTCAGAAACAATTGTACATTTTGTGTGAGTATAAAAGTAAAATATATTTTTTTTACATATACGGGTCCACCTATTTTACTGTGTCTAAGCAAAGTCATCAGGTTTTGTTGCCTCATACAAAACCAATTCAGCACTAACCCATATTGTTGTTATTGGACAAAACATAATTCATTAACAGCCACTAACACAAAAACTGTCACTCACCATTACAGATGACACCAGATGCTTTTGAGGACGCACACAGGTGCTCTATATTTTTGTACTCCATGCACTCCCACATATTCTGCATATTTGAATTGCATAGATAGTACCACAGTGCCCCTTCGTTGTGAAGGAGAGGAGGAAGAAACTGGGTGTATTTTAGCGGCTCGGCACCACACTGCAGCATGGAGCACACCATGGAGGCCATGTCTTTATTCCAGCAGTTGTCACACAGCGTTCCCCAGCTGCCATCACGGTGGATTTCCACTTTACCAGAGCAGCGGTCCAAACCTCCAGTCAGTCTGACTGCTTTCATTTCTGCACACAGACACACAGATGATACAAACTGTGAAACTATTAGAGGAAAATCAATTACATTCTCTACATTAATCATATTCCCAAGTAGTCTGCTTATGTTTTTTCTTTACCTGGAGGTAGTTTACATTTCACAATTATAACCCACACAATGTGGGTATTTTATGGGCAAATTACAGTAAAGATGTGGCTACACATCCAAAATAAATAAATATAACATTTAGTATATGACTAGTAAGTGGAATTTAAGGCTTCTTTGTCATTCTATTATATCTATTCATGCTTCAAATCTGTTATTTTCTATGTTTTTTGAGCTGAAATGTGACCTGAGCATATGACACCAGCATCCTCTTTGTGTCCACAGTCGGGCTCGTCTCTTGCAGCCGGACAGGCCCACAGGTTCTCCTCTTTGCCAGTACAGTTCAGGTCGTCCAGGTGGATGGGTCCTCTGCCCGGGGGGAAGGAGCCACCCTGTCCCGTCACATTGAGGGCGTAACCGCAGCCGAGCTGGGCGCACACCACGTGAGCTTCCTCCAGGTCCCACTGGTCGTCACACACTGTGCCCCATCTCCCATCCTTCCACAGCTCCACGCGTCCGGCACAGCGGTCTGATCCTCCTGCCAGCCGCACAGTCTGGTGGCCTGAGGACATTATAATGCCATACTTATGGCACTGTTTATGATGCAGGGCAGAGAAAGCTTGGGAAATAGTTTTATGACAGTTTATTTGATAATATTCAGACAATAAAAGAGAGAGATTAATTTCGTACCTTGAAAATGATTATTTTTAGTTTCTTTTACTAGCTTTAAATTAAAGGACCATTATTAATCAATGTAGTAGCATCACAAAATAAAGATTAAACTACATTAGAATATCATATCTGACCAGACTGATAACCTGGGCTGATCTCTAGTTTCTGTTGGACAATATGGTCTATTTACTGGACAGATACATGTTAATATTGTATTAAAAGTTGTGTTATTATGTGTCATAAGGTCTTGTTAAACAGTCTACACAATGCAGTTATTGCCAGACTATTTATTGCTGTGTTTTGGTTTAGTTTGTTAAAAGGAAACAAAACAACAAGTAGCTAATATACTAAAGTTTGTTTGCCAAAAAACATATAAGAAGATATTTTATCTACGCCTCCAAATGCCCTTGTTTCAGCATTATTTGTAGGTACTCGTTTATTACGGCTGTTTGTTGATTTAGTTTTTCTTTTATCAGTTTACTGCTAACTAAGACATCCATTATTCTAGCTGTCTGAGGCTAATGTGTTGCTAATATTCTAAATAGCATTAACTGTGAAATCACTGTTGGACACTTTTGTGTATTTTACTCTTTTTACTTCTACTCTTTTTACTTCTACTGTTATGGAATTTATTAAGAATAATTCCTGTGTTGTGCTCCCTTTGGGGACTTATTGTTCTTTCACTGGAGGACAGTGTAGCTAAACTGACAGCTACCTTATACTTTTGTGAATCTGTTACTGTTACTGTCCTATTTTCACAATATTATTTGTCTAACTCTTGTTTTTGGTATTTTATCTTTTTCTAATCACTCCGACTGAATTTTCTGTTACTGTTTCACATTATCGTCCAGTGAAACCCACAAAGGCCAACTTTCTGTCTTCAACGTTTATTAGAAGTGTGTTTAGCTCGCTGCATACCGGCGCCTACACACACATAGTGTGAGCAAAAGAATCGAGTATCAATTATCAATTTAATTACATGTATTTCAAGTCACTCGCAGTCTTCCATAGTTGTCCTCAGTCTTTGTTTAATGATAATATAATTATTTTATCTTTCTAAATAATCAAACAGAATATTAAATAAGTTTAATTTTAAATATTAAAACTGCAATCAAAAGTAGTTTACAGTAGGCAGATAGATCATTCCACTTCCTGTAGGTTCATCTTATAAATATGATATTGTGGTGTTTTGTATCTGCTCACATTATGTGACAAACCAAAAACCTAATTAGGGAGAAATACAGTTACAGTACAGTACAGTGAGCCCGTGCAAAGTTTCCACCATGCTCGGTTTTAATACTATAAAAACAAACTGAAACTATAAAACATAATAGAGATGGTAAAACCTTACCACAAACAGCTCCAATCACTGTGCAGTTACTTCCCATACTCTGCGAACAGTTCTGCAAACTACCATTTTGGTACAAACAGCTCTGAAAGCACGTGGTATTGGCGGGTGAGTTCGTTTTATTCACATGATAGACGCTGCCACAGTCAAGAGCCTGACAGATCTCTTCAACCAACATATGTGCAGAGTCGGCTGTTAATGCCACCACCTCACTGCTCCTGTTTCCAGCCATCCTGAGCGTGAAGCTGCATTCACCAGAGAGTTTGTGAATGTAAGGGTCACCTGAGGACACACAGAGGAAGAAACACAAGACGATTTATGTATGTGTATTCTATGTTTTGAGCTAACACAGCTTTTGTCTTTATATTAGTAATATAATACTGTAGTGTAATACTTTTACACAAGTGCTACAAATTTTTGTACATTGATGCTCTTCCGGGTCAAATTTGAGTGAGATGGATTTTAGACCCA